CGTGATTTGAAAAGAATTAAACCTTTGTGTGTTCATGTTCTGTGATTACTGATGCAATATGACTGAAACAACAATGAAAGTAATGAAGTTGAGATCATGTATTTTTTTCATTGTACAGCCCCCGTGGTGTGTCTACACCAAATGCCAAAGTTTCCATAAATTAAGTGAACTTAAATTGTTATTTTAATAATACAGTCTTTCTTGGGAATACTAACCAATTTACTTGGGTGTCCAGGTATTTCATCAAGTTGTTTGTACACATTTATTTAGTGACTGCATAGGACATGATAGGAACAAGAATACCCTCAAAATTATAAACAAACATTTTAATCTCAGAAATGGATTTTTCTTTCGTTTTCTTATTATTATTTTAGCATATGTGATTCGTCAGTAACCATTTAACTTGTATTTTTTGCATTTGCAGTTTACATGTTTATTAGCAGCAGAGACTGTCTTTATTTATTTATTTTTTTAACCAAGGCCTATTCAGGGTTCCCACAGTCATAAAAAAAAAACTTGCAAATATTAGAGAATTTCAAAACTAAATTTTTTTGTATTATTATTTTTTATTTTTATGCTCAGAAAATTTAATTGGCTAGAAATAGCTCATTTTGAGTGCTGTCTTATAAAATACATATAAAAAAATATGTTCTTCAATATTGGCCTTCACTGAAAATGTCAGAAAAAGCATGGAAAATCTTTTGTGTGGGAACCCTGTCTATTGCATCCTTTTTCAAATCTCAGGCATAGCATTTTAATAAATTGGTCTTATGCTTGCATGTATAACAATCATTAATTTACATCTCAATATGTTTAGCTGAACTCATCAGGAAATAGTGTCCTTTTTTAAATTTCACCTGGATCCCTTTTGTTTGTAATTTGTGTGTTATGTTTTATTAGCTTGGTTGTGATTGATGTCAAAAGACCACAGCTAGTATAATGCGGCAAGTGTACGAAAAACAATTTCATATTCTTGTTCACATGCACCTTTAAAGTGGCACAACATGGGGACTGTTTGTACCAATAAAGATAAAAAAGTGCACGAATAGCATAGCTCTGTGGAAATATGTGTCTTCGGGGCAAAGTTAAAAAATTGCCTTTGTGCCTATCAAATAAAAAATAGTATTTTTGCAGCTCCTGGTGTAATAAAGGTTTTCAGTAGACCTCAAGAACTGCAGTGGTCTACTCAAGCTCTGGAATACTATAGTGCTGTCCATTATGATATGCTTTTGTTCACAAATAAATGAACTAATGTCATGTTTACATTCTACCTTTATGGTTATCTGGACAAAGACACATTGTTATATAGTCGCACATGCATAACTCAATAATTTATGTCCATTAATAATTTTATCTTATTTATGCACTGAAATTATAAGTGAAAATACTATGTGTACATTTCTTTTTGTTAATTACTAAAAATGATTTGTCATTTCTTTTTCTGATTGTTTTATATATATATATATATATATATATATATACATTTTTTTTTCTTTTTTTTTCTTTAATAATAGTATATGGCACCTGATTGGTTACTGCTGTATGTGTGGTGCTGAAAGCACTTTAGTGAGCCTTTGGTGAGACTGGATATTTCCCTGTGGAATAAATTGATCAATCTTGTTTAAGGGCATAAAACTGTTGAATCTCAAATGGACAAATGAATTCTGAACCATCACATCAACGTTTGTACACTGGCTAGATGTTTTGTTTGGTAGAACGGCAGGAATATTTCCATGGCATTCATTTTCTGGACGATATGATGTTATCTCTTTGGTGTCCTAACGCTTACTGTTCAATATGCTGAAATATAACAAGCCTTGGTTAGCAGTGATGTCTCAATATACGTCCATTTTTGAAAAGCTGACTTGAACTTTGTATCAAGCTAAACTTAAGAGATTAACACAAAAAGACAGAATTCTGCAAATGAAAACTACAACTCAAATGTTATCACATTCAGATGGTTTCCAAATTAATAATGTATTGTAAATGTCAGCCATGGTTTCCTGGGTAGAATCAAAGCCCTGAACTGTTTTTATAGTGATTTTTCATGAAAATCAAATAAACTAAAGTTGTTGTAATGGGCATTCGTCACAGGAAAGTGAACAAATTCAAAACCGATCAATGAACACTCTGGTTTAAGCAAATCTGATGCTTACTGACCTGTATAGTGTGTAGTATTTGGAGATATAATGTCTGTTCAACCCTGACCTAATAGTTCTCTAAACAAATTACCACTTTTGAATATAGATACATGAACTTGATAATTACTCTGTTGATATTGGGTGTATATTTGGCAAATTTTCATGAATAAAATCTACATTTAATACCAGGTTTTGTTGCTTGTGCTTATTTTATGGGATGTTCTATGCATTTAAACTTGGGAAATTCATAAGTCACACATAGTCGTAGGTTGATTTTCAACCTCTTGAAGGAATAGTTCAACCAAAAAGGAAAATTTATTCACCCCAGGCCATCCAAGATATAGAGTTTGTTTCAATATCTTCTTTAATCCACTCAACCCCAGTCCCTCAGTTAATATCTTGTGAGGCGAAAAGCTGCATGTTTTTAAGAAACAAATCCAGCAAGGCGTTTTAACTTTAAACCATTGCTTTTGGGTAAAATGCATGTCTATAATCCATAATAACACTTCCTCCAGTGAAAAAGCCTATCCCGTTGTCATCTCGTATCAAAATCCGCCAAAATTTTAATTTGGAACTGTTTTCTCTTGTAAACGTTGATTGATATGTGCATATTTCTCTCCTGAATCAGAAAAGACTACTTTTTTTTTTTTTTTTTTTTTACTAGAGAAAACAATATTATGGATAGCAGACTCATATTTTTGTTTTGAACTTGATGATGGATTTGTTTCTTCCAAACACACAGCTTTTCACTTCACAAGACATTAATTGATGGACTGGATTCATGTGGATTATTATGTTTTTATCAGCTGTTTGGACTCTCATTCTGATGGCACCCATTCACTGCAGAGGATCCATTGGTCAGCAAGTGATGAAATGCTAAATTTCTCCAAATCTGTTGTGATGAAGAAACAAACTCATCTACATCTCGGATGTCCTGAGGGTGAGTAAATTTTCATTTTTGGATGAACTATTGCTTTAATATAACTGGAGACAGAAAACCACTGCACCATAGCATGTAATGTCATTATTAGTTAGTGGTGTTTGGCAAGGCAAATTTAATTTGTTATTTAAATAGAATCACTGTTCAATTAAGCCATTGTAATGTCCTGGTAATGAGCTCATCTTTATGGAGAAGGGTGACTGAAAGCGGTGAACTGGTTTAGAACTCATGCTGTATCTACCATATGCTGCAAGCATCAAATTGATCTGGGTGGGTGTAGGTGATGTGATGAATGCACAGACACACACACACACACATACTCGTGGGGTTTTGTAATGTCACATGTATGACACTAGTGCTGAACCGCTTGTCTCTGCACGTGGCCAGGTGGACCCGAGTGCCATGTAAATATTCATGAGTGGCTGATGTGAAGTTGAATGTTATCGCACAGGGATCGAGATGTCTTTTGACATGTCATGTCATATGTCTTTGCAAGCCTACTACTGTACTGTGTATTTGCACTGAACTAGCTTATATCCACCTACCATTTTTAGAGCCTAATATCATTTCCTGGTTTGTTCACAACGTAGTTTTAGGATATGAACAATAAAAAACAAAACAAAAAAAGGCTTTATTAATGCAAACCTTCATTAAAATTTAAGTGTGATGTATTTGTATTTAATTATCTGGAATGGTAATGCATTATAGGAACACTTTGATCTACTAAAATCTAACATATCTAAAACTAATGCTGAAATGTAAATAAAAACTATATAGACAAAAAAAAAAACGAATAAAAATGACAATTACGAGCAAAAACAAAAAATATATTAAAAAAATCAAAATATTAATGAAAACCATAATAGTATGCCAATGACATTAAAATAACACTGCTACGCGGTGACATGGTTTGTAAGGGACACACACTCTTGAAACCTAATAGCCTAATTGTCATGACTGTTTATTGACAACAACTGACAATAATTTCTAGTGCAAGTAAGTTTCTGACACGAAATCTATGGCCTTTTTTAGAATTTTCA